CCCACCGCCAACATAGAATCCCGATTACAATAGTGTCAGTGGAGTAATGCTGAAAAAAAGTGGAAAAAAGAAACGCGATGGGAGAAATACGTTGGAGTAGGGGTAGAAGTGGATCAATATCTTCACCCCCACCACACCCCTGTATCAGCGACATCAGGTACCCCGTCGTGCATCTCCGTGGAATTATTTTAGCGGGCGAAACCATCAGTATCATCCTTCCACCCGAGGCGAACGTGTCTCCAAAAAATTAAAGAAAAATCGTTGACAAATTTTTTTCACTTCCATCGACTTTTTTCGATTACTGGGGAATTTCTTTTTTCCATCATTTTAATTGGATCATTCATTATACGTGAATGAGATTCCACAGTGCAAAAGACTGTTACAATACGAAAGTGGAGAAATATGAAAGCGACAGTACCGGTAATACTCTATTTTTCAATCGCTATTTAGTGGAAATTAGAAATTTTCGTTGTGAATTTTGTGGTTTTTTCTCCATGGCGCAATCACGCCCGCTTGCTTCAAGTGGGGCAAAATCGTTATTAGTACGACCGTTGGGGAAACGCTCTCGTCCTTCAGCCGGCATCACCCCCAGTTGCCACGCGGTACTGCTAACCCCCGAGTTTTAATTTCATCATTGGAAATTTCCATTAGTGAAGAGAATTTGATTTCTGATATATTTTTTCGCTCTTTGCTTTCCGCCTTTGTAACGTGAAATGTTCTTTACCTCGATCTGTTGAATGAATTGCTAAAAATAACCGTAAATCGATTTCAAATCGATGACCTTCTGCTGATTTATTTAAAAAATTATTTCAATTCGAAGAAAAATTTAATTTCGCTGATATCTAATTTATTTCACTTTTGGGAATTATATCAGCCTGTGGCAACCATTCGATATAAGTTGCGAGGAGTTTGATCCTCATTCTATGACTCATGACCTTATCTCATTGAATTTCATGCTGAACTCTGGCAAGGGAAGTGAATAGTATTGGAAATGTAAAATCAACATCAGTTCACAAGAAAAAGATTGCAATTTCTCGGATTTAAGGGTGCCAAGTGAATTTGAAAAAAGATTTCTTTTTAATTTTTTCTTTCCCTCCTTTATTGGAGAAATATGTATTCATCCATCCGGCGAAATTTCAAAACCGCAACCGGAACTAGACATCGAGAAAATAAATGCAGAAAATCCTCTATTTCCCGTGACAAACCTCGAGAAAGCATGGGATCAAATGGGTACGGCGGGTTGAAATATCTCTCTTATTCACCCCGGTACCCCATTGTTTTTTGTCGCCATCACATTGAACACATCATTCCCCATATCTTCAAATTTTTTCAAATTTTTCTTGAGTTCCTAGGGGGTTGAAACGTTGAATTTAATCAAAACTCCATAAGAGGCTGTGTATAAGACTGATTTTGTTTATTTAATTTGTCGATATCCATAAGTTCTAAAATTTTAAAATTGTCACCGATGTTCACCATCTGTCTAATACTATTAATTAAAAAAATTATAATTTTGTTCGTGAATGTCAATTTTCAAGGTCATCGCCAAACTCACTTGGCACCCTTAATCAGGTTTAAGAATAATACAGAAAGAAAATGCACAAGTCATTATACTCGTAATGCAGTACTGAAAGGAGATCATTAAAAATTTACGTGCAGGATATTCCACAAGTATCTTTCAAAAGAAGAGGTTTAAGAGCATTTATCAGCATTTTCTGGCAGTACTGAAAACCTTATATAAAAAGGTTGATTAATTTTTCTTGAGTTCTTGAGTTCAGAGAGATCAGAAATTTATACGTGAGCTTACACTTATCCTAGTAGAAAAATTAGAACATGCAAGAAATCTTCTATACAACCGATTGTCTTTTTTACGGTTCTATTTCTCCCCTCAGCCCTTCGATGAAATGTTGATAGAAAAATTTTGTTTATACTTGGATGAATTTGAAACATCACAATTGAAGAAACCATCAGAAAGCTCACTTCCAGGGAAATTCATGAAAAATCCAAAATTTTCAACAATCATCATAAAAATAAAAATCAACCAATAGTTATTGCAATCATCTTTTAACATCGACGTAATGACATTAAAACAGACATTTTAAGCTATTATTGAATCCATTTGAAGCATGATATTCAAAGATGTCCCCGGAATTCTGATTTTCTAAAAACACAAAATTTTTGTAAATTTTGAAATAAATCAAAATAACGATTATTGCTATAGCCTTCATCTTCGAACTCGGTCAAAAGGACATCCATACAAATTTTTTAAACCATTCAATCAATTCAGAACATTTTTTTCTAGTGAGCGTGAAACAGTCGATTTTCAAAAAATTCGAAAATTTAAAAAACTAATTGATGAATTGAATGTCAATTGATGGCGATCGACAATGCTCAACAATACCTACATTTGAAAAAAAAGATTCAATTCCATTCATTCATTAGCGAACAATTGAAGGAAAACTGTTACATATGTACACACACAGGGGAGGGTGGGGTAAAATGGACGCTTTTTATTTTTTTAAAATATTCATAAGTCAGGAATCACGGAAACAGTAGACCAAGGGGAATTTTTAAGTTGGGTGGATTTTAGGACGCTTTGGATGTGTGGGATATTCTTTCCTGGTCTATTTTTTTTCCGCCCACCACGCGTCAGAAACAGATTTATCAATTGAGCTCAGTCTAAGCTCACGCGGAGAGAAATATTCAATAAAAATTACGTATCATCTCCGTAATTCCGGAGCGAAATGTGGTTGTAGGAAATTTTACGAAACTGTCACGGAATTTTTCCAGAATGTTCCGTAATTTTTATCTGATCTCCTGTAAAAAATTACGATACCGTCACTTAAATTTTCTGAGTCCATACCGTAATCGGTGAGCGAATTGTGAGCTCCGTAATTTTTACTGAACACTTCTCTCCGTGCATTGCAAAGGGCAAGGATTGTCCTTTCAACTGAAAAATAAAATTATTCCATTTCACGAACAATTCAACACGACACCAACATTAAAAGTTATTAAAATAAAAAAGTTTTAAAAACCAATTTTAGCCCCCCCCCCCCTCTCCCTATACAACACCCGTACGGTCGAGATCTAAAAATTGTATTTTCAGACTTTTTGAATCATATTGGGTCAATATATCACAAAAAATCCAAAACTTAAATTTTAACGATTACGAAGCTTCCATTCAGAACCAAAAAACGTGAAAATTGGCTGAAAACAGGCGACACATCTCCCCTGCTAGAACAATCCCAAAATAATGGCCGAACGCCCTCTGAAAAAATTCCCAAAATAGCGCCCGAATGTCAACCCTGGTACCTTTCATCCCTTACCACCGAAAATAATCCAAGCGAGACTAACGCAAACCCGATCAAAACACCTCGCCATTCCCCGCCACCCTTTTTAATCACCTTGTCCCTCTCGAAACGCCAATTAACTCAACGAAAATCCCCTCATTATCATTACAGATGCAACAGCCAGGAAGAAATTCATGCCTCTCCTCGACAAGGGCGATGCTGGAGCTGACAAGTTTCAGGGTTAAAATAAAGTCATCAAGCCTTCTAAACTCTTCCACAATTTCTCCAACATCAGTAAATCAATAACGCAATTAAAATACCAACGCTCGATCGTTAGAACCGATTCGATCTAAAGAAACAATAATAATAATTAAACCAGAGTGAGTCATGAAGGAGAAGTCCGGTGCTATGACGAAAAACTACCTCCTTAGTATGTACAAAAATCCAACGAAAACCGAATTGAGATCATTGTCCTCAAGACACAAGATATAATAAATGAATAATTCGAGGGGATAAACAAAGTGAGGACTGACAATTTTCATGTACATATTAATGTACATATGATACATGTATAAATGTGTATATATCACTGAGTTGTATATACACTTGATTAATTATTGTAAATTGAAAAGGAGAAATTGAGTAGAGTGAATTGAAAACAATTCTCATTAATTTGAGATTGATACGGAAGAGTGAGAGGAATATTGCAGGGTGAAACAGTTGAGATTGAGCAGAAAATATGTCTGAACCGTACGACGAGAGTTTAGTATGGCTGGTGGTGATTGGGTTTATTGTTGCATTTATTCTTGCCTTTGGAATAGGCGCTAATGACGTTGCTAATAGTTTTGGTACTAGTGTTGGTGCTGGTGTACTGACGGTCTTTCAGGCTTGTGTACTGGCCACTTTTTTCGAGATTGCCGGAGCTGTTTTGATTGGATATAAGGTAAATATGGGAATAATTGATATTGGATGTCATATTTTTATTAAAGGGGAGGGGATACGTCGGTGAAATTTAAATGTCTTCAGTGGGCCTTGGGACGCATTCAACAATTTACGATATATGACGGAATATGGGAATAACTAGAGAAAATCACCGACTCGGTGGATTTTCCCACGAAAAACGTAATTTTTTGCTGTTTTTACCCTCAAAATGCTCCTTGCGCCGTAATTTTCATACGATTTTAGCTTTTTTTTTAAATGTTCGTTACACTCCAAAGAATGAAGTTAAGCATCCATTTTAGTTTATTCGCGATAGATCATGAATAAATGAATTTTTAATTTCATAAATTTTTCGTGTCTCTAGAGTAGGACTAAAAATTCATTGTTTTTAGTAATTGAACCCGAAACCAACAAATAAACAAATAAACAACCAACCAAAACATCATTTTGTTATGTTTTGTTTTTATTCATTTTTTATTGTAATTACGCGTAATCTAAAAAAAATTTATGAAATTCAAAATTCATTTATTCATGATCTATTGTAAATAAAGTAAAATGGATGCTTAATTCTAGTGTTTGATGTGTAATGAACATTAAAAAAACGACGTCGTTGGAGAGTTTTTGGCGGGTGAACTTCATTCAGTGATCGTTGTATATCGTTTATATTTTTGTATTCAAGTTTTTACGATGCAAGTGACAATTTTCCACGCGATAATCTTAACTAATACCGTGACTAAACATTGATTGAGTCAAGAGCCTGATGAAGCTAAAATATATTTAGCGAAACGTTGCATTCTTGATGTTATAATTAGATTATAGTGTTTTATTTCTCCAAAATCTCCGATTCCTGAATTAATTGACATCGGTTGGAGATGAATACGTTTATTGAAAGGTAAAATCGTATGGAAATTACGACGCAATGAGCATTTTGAAGGTAAAAATAAAAACAGCAAAAAATGAAGTTTTCCGCGGTTATACGGGGCAAAATCGATCGGGTTTGCGATTTTCCCTTGCTATTCCTATAGTCTGTCATATATCACAAACTGTTAAATGGGTCCCAAGGCCCAATGAAGAGTTTTAAATTTCACCGACGTATCCCCTTAATTCAATTCCTGAGAAATTTATTTGGTAATTGAATGAACAACTTGAAAATCAGTGAAATGTTGAAAATCCGTATTTGTGGGGGTAGAAACTTTCCTATAAAAGAACTCCCCTGATGTGTCTCTCCAGTATTACTCATCGGTTAGTCAAATTAACGCTTAATTTGGCCAGTCAAATGATCAATAGAGATAATTTTTTTTATTAAGGGGATACGTCGGTGAAATTGAAGACTTCGCTGGGTCTTGGGACCCATTGAACAGTTTATGATATATGACGGAATATAAGAATAACTAGGGAAAATCGCGGTCCCGATCGATTTTGCCCCGTATAACCACAAAAAACTTCATTTTTTCATATTTTGACCTTTGAAATGCTTCTTGCGCCGTAGTTTTTCTAAGATTTTAGCTTCTTTTTAAATGTTCATTACACTCCAAAGAATAAAGTTGAGCATCCGTTTTACTTTATTCGCAATATCTCATGAATAAATGAATTTTGAATTTGATAAATTTTGCTCTACTCTAAAGACACGAAAAATTTAACGACGTACATTGATCAACGTTTAAATATACGAACCAAAATTAAAAACAAAAACAAAAAACAATTGATAATCTAAATTTCCAATTGATGGTGAATTAAATATTTAATAATATGGATTCAGAAATTTTCTATTAAGTAAATAATACTATATTTCTTATAAGGAATTCCGGATTATTCAAGTAATCGTCAATCTTCCTAGCTAAATTACTGATTAATAAATCAATAATTTCAGTAATAAAATTAGGAATTTGAATATTTAAATTGATGATTACTTTAATAATTACAATCTCAGAGTGATATTAACCAATCGACTACTTAATAATTAAACGGAATTATAATTTATGGATATGGCTATTCCTGTTTCCCTCTATAAAAGATATTTTTATCTTCAAAAGGCACCGTCTTGTGTGAATGATCCGCCTCTTGAGTCAAATATTTCGTTATTGTTGAAAGCAGAACAATTATTCGTGTTTGAGACTTTCAAATTCGAACGAAACAATTATGCTTTTGTAATACTGATCAAACGATTTTATTCGCCCAAACAAGACTTGTTAGAGAACTTGTTCGTTTTCCTCGAGGTGTATAAGCGTCCTGAGTGTTGGCGAAAGTGGATTTTTCGTCGTCGTCTGAAAATCCGAATACTGTTTCTAAACAATAGTACATTGTTCGTAACTCGTGAAAAAATGTTTTTTAGTTCGTGGGATTATATCACTCGCCTTCGGCTCGTGATATAAACCTCCCACTCGCCAAAAAACACTTTTTCATCACGCTGTGCGAAAAAGTAACTTTTTAGGCACGCTTCGCGTGCCTAAAACGTCCCTTTTCCACACATTGTGATGAAAAATATCGTTCGATACTCGTGGGAAAAGTGTTTTTTGGCTCGTGGGATTATATTACTCGCCTTCGGCTCGTGCTATAAACCTCCCAAGAGCCAAAATAGTATATTTCAACAATATTTTTCATCACAATGTGGCGGAAATTGGACTTTTAGGCACGCGGAGCGTGCCGAAAAGTTCACTTTTCGTCACAGCGTGATGAAAACACTTTTCCGCACTCGTAACGAAATATACTATTTTGCACTCGTTACGAAATACACTATTTTTCGTGTGGTGGGGCCTGAAAAACCCCATTTTGAGTCAAAAAACTCAAAATTCAAAATGGGGTTTTTCAGGTCCCGCGACTAGAGATGCAAATGCACATGCCCCGTCATATGATGTGACCGTCATTGACGGTCACATGACGAGGCGTTCATGACGGCTGTCACAATTCCCCCTCCCCCTTCTGTGACCGTCACAACTTGTCAAGAAAAAATGACAGTCATTTTTCATCTATATAGATGAAACTTTATTTTTTTCTCGGTCAATTTTCAGTTGAATTCCTTTTGTATTGGCCTAATCCGCATTTTGAAATGGAAATCACGTTTTTTTTCCATCCATATAGATAAAACTATTTTGTTTTATTCATGACCGTGACAAATTGGAAATTAGTTATGACCGTCATTACGCAACTATATAGATGGTTTGACAACAATTTGGTTACAAATGATTGTCACAAATCATATGACCGTCATTTTTTGGTCATATGACGCGATCTAAAAAATAACGGTCATTTTGCATCTCTACCCGCGACACGAAAAGATATTCTCTCCAACGGGTTTGTCCTCCGTGCTGCTATGCATTAATTAACGAATCTCTTCGATTCTGTTCTTTTAAAACACATAGGAAGTTAAAAAAATTGGAAAAAATCCTGTTCTAGGTGTCTGATACGATGCGAAAAGGAATATTGGACGTGAGCCTTTATGAAGGATACGAGAAAGAATTAATGGTTGGTGCTCTCTGCAGTCTCGCAGGTTCAGGAATATGGTTGTTGCTGGCAACTGCCCTCAGATTACCAATTTCCGGTACTCATTCGATTGTCGGAGCTACCGTCGGATTTTCACTCGTTTGCCGAGGCACAAGAGGGGTAAATTCAATTCCAACTTCCGAAACTCCCCTGAGCCGTTCCAATTCACCTATTAATCTCATTTCACGAATGTTAATTAGGTGCGATGGATGGCCCTGGCGAACATTGCAGCTTCGTGGTTCGCAAGCCCCATGATGAGTGGCCTCGTGTCTGTAGGGATCTTCTGGCTCATACAAAAGTTCATTCTGAGAGCTAGAAAACCAGTTGATGTGGGATTGAATGCTCTGCCAGCCATTTATGGTGCTACTGTTGCTGTCAACATTCTTTCGGTGCTTTTGGACGGCCCAAAACGTAATTAGAAAGTTTATTTGATAACACGCTTTATGATTCGCGGACAAAATTTCCGCAACAAAATTCCCAAATGAAAAGAAAAGTGGAGACAATTTTTCCAGCGACAATTGTATTGTTGACATCTGTTCTGCCGACAATTTATCCGGGGTACATTATATCCGTCGAGAAATTATCCAATATTTCATGTCGTTACAATTTGGGATGGTAAACAGTAAGTAGCAAGGTTTCCCGATGACAATTCCCAAATGAAAAGACAAATGAAGACAATTTTTCCAGCGACAATTGTATTGTTGACATCTGTTCTGCTGACAATTTGTCCATGGTACATTATATTCGTCGAGAAATTATCCAATATTTCATGTCTTTACAATTTCGGATGGTAAACAGTAATTGGCGAGAGCTCCCAATGACCCTCTCCTTTCGTCTTAGAACATTGAAAAAAATTAAATTGTTTTTTTGTTATCGTTATTTTACATCGCTTCGACCCGGTTAGGGTATACTGCGATGATGATCAAGACTTTAAATGGTTAGATCGCACCATTCTACCCGGCCGGGGTTTGAACTCGGAACCTTTCGCATGTGAGGCAACGAAATTAAATTATTTGAAACGTGTTGTAGCCATTTTGAGGCTGTAGAAGCTGTTGTGACCATGTTTTTGGTATGTTCACCGTGTGTATTATTTGTAATACAAATAATAATACAACAGTATTATTTGTAATTTTATGTTGATTCAATGTCAGTTAATGGTTACAATGTATATTTGGTAACTAATGGTACACTGATAGACTAATTCATTTATTCCAAACGAGATTCGTTAACTATTAACGAATGGTAGAGTTGAATATGACCCAATGAATATTCGTTAATAGTTAACGAATGGTTCACTTGAAAGGTGAAAATCGAGTCAAACGACCTTCTCAAATGTGCATTCGTTAACTATTAACGAATGAACATTTGGTGAGACCGAATAGACCCCCGTCTCCAACCAAATCCATTCGTTAACAATAACTAATCCTTTCTATGAGTGTAATAGCGGCTTCTATGAATTGAGGGAAATTTGCTGGGATGGCGGAAGCATTGTAATTGTATGTAAAATGTGAGTTATCGAATTGAAAATTACGAATTCAATGTTATGTATGAATTCTCAGCTACTTTTTTCATTTTCTTACTGTTTATCATCCGAAATTGTAAACACATGAAATATCGGACAATTCATCGACGGATATAATGTACCCAGAATAAATTGGCGGCAGATCAGACGTCAAGAATGCAATTGTCGCTGGAAAAAATTGTCTTCAGTTTTCTTTTCATTTGGGAATAATGTTGCGGAAATTTTGTCGCAGAGATTTGGTCCGCGGATCAAAAAGCGTGTTACCTCAACATCAATACCAAATCCAACTCCACTTATCATTTTTGTCTACTTCAGCAGAAGAATAGATCTCATTGTATCACTTTGCAATTGATCTCCCATCGATTAGAAAACACTTGAATAATTTTTCTTATGCAGTATTGATGCTGGATCGCGTGCCCTGGTGGGGAAGTTTGATAGGAGCTGCTGGCATCGGTCTTTTCTCATCGGTAATTGTTTACGTTTTTGTGGTGCCAGTGCAACGTCGAAGAATCCTACTGTCAGAAGCAGCAGACGGTCCAATCACCTTTGGAACATGCGACAAGAAGGAAACAACTGCCCTATCTGTCATCACCGAGACTCGCATCCCCCCATCGACTCCCAAGGTTGAAAATCCCAGCCAACAGCCAACATTACGTGGGAACAGCAGTGCCAGTCCCCTATTGATGACAGGTGGAGGGACTGATCCCAATGAAGACCTAGACCTCGAAAATGCTGGGAGACAGGCTGAGGAGAATCCAGACATTGCAAAACTGTTTTCCTTCCTCCAAGTGCTCACTGCGGCCTTTGGAAGCTTTGCACATGGGGGAAATGATGTCAGCAATGCGATTGGACCTCTCATCGGACTGTGGGCAGTTTATGCTGAGGGAAATGCCAAACAAGAGGCTGAAACGCCAATTCTTATTCTTTTGTATGGAGGATTAGGAATTTCCGCGGGACTGTGGATCTGGGGACGACGAGTCATTCAGACACTGGGTCAAGATCTTGCGCGAATCACTCCGACTACTGGATTCACTATTGAGGTGAGAATTTCCAAGATCGTTTGCATTCTTGGGACAAACGATTTGATGAAGTGGACATTGAGGGGAGACCGCGGTGTAATTTAAGGAGAGACTACACACGGAGAGAAATGTTCAGTAAAAATTACGGAACTCACAATTCACTCACCGATTACGGAATCGAGTCAGAAAATTTAAGTGACGGTATCGTAATTTTTCACAGGAGATTCAGATAAAAATTACCGAACGCTCCGGAAAAATTCCGTGACAGTTCCGTAAAATTTCCTACAACCACATTTCGCTCCGGAATTACGGAAAAGATACGTAATTTTTATTCAATATTTCTCTCCGTGTATGAGTTTTATAAGTCACGGGCTATTGGAATGCGATTTCTCATACATTGAAAATCAATTGTATATGTCTCAAAATGAATAATTAGTGCAAAAAAATTGATTGTTTATTGTTATTTTTCCCCGCAGACGCTTAAAATGTTACAGATGGTCTAGGGCCTCCAATTTTCGAGCTACAGAGGCTTCTTGTTTTTAAAAATTTTTGAAAAAGTATGTGCAATAACAAATACGAATTAGTGTTTTGAAATTCAACTCTTCCATGGCTAATTTCGTTATTTTTTAATGAAAAAATTGCACTATTCATGTAAAATAGCCCGAAAAGTGGTTCTGAAAGAATCGAGAATATGTTTTAAATATTTTAAGGACAATTTTTTTGCCTATTTTACATGAATAGCGCAAATTTTTATTTTAAACAAAACGAAATTAGCTTGTAGGAGTCGCATTTCAAAAAACTAATTCGTAATTATTATTGCATAAATTTTTTCAAAAATTTTGAAAAAATGAAACCATTGTAGCTTAAAAATCGGAGGCCCGGGACTATTTTTCACATTTTCAGCGTTTGTGGGGTGAATGAGCAATAAACAATTAATATTTTCGCACTAATTATTCGTTTTTAGACATATATAATCGATCTTCAATGCATGAGAAATCTCACTCTAATCGCTCGCGACTTTTAAAACTCATAGTAGTCTTCCCTTAAAGTTCTCGATACCAGTTTTTCTCGATAGAACTTTTCGTGTGCGAAATCTAGGGGCAATTTTCACTCGGCTCATCAAACGAAATTTAAAAAATGATGGATATAATTTCGCAAAAACCATCCGAAACTCGTAAGGGTTTCAACATGATAAGTGGATAACCTCGGTACACGGAGAGAAATATTCAAGAAAAATTACGGAACATTTCACGTAATCCGCAAGCGAGAATCGTTTTCAGTGAATTTCTATAAGAATATAAGAGAATAAATTTGAAACGTTCAGTAAATTTTCGGGTCTGTCACCGAAAAAATACGAAAAAGTCACGTAATTTTTCTGGAAGTTGTAAAATCTAACAGAAACTTCAAGACTTATTATGCCTCAGAACATGAAAATTCTTGGATGTTTAAGAATTTTTACGAAAAGTTCCGGAAAAATTACGGAACGTGTTGTTAAAATCTCCCCCTCACGGTGACTTATGGCTAGCCGTGAGGCGTCGGACGGATGAGTAAATTTTACAGAACAGATCGTAGAATTTACGTGATGATTGGCACTTTTTATTGAATTTTACTTCGCTCCCAGATTACGTTTCGAAACGTAATTTTTACGTCTTTTTTCTGGTAATTTTTATTGAATATTTCTCTCCGTGTATTGGGCAGACTGAGAAATAGTATATTTCGTCGTTAGGCCGAAAAAATCTTTTCTGTACTGCTTCTCACGATTCCTCGTCTGGGAATTGGTATTACATACTTCCCAAACTCGAAAACTTGAAAATCACTATAGAAAAATATTGTTCCTGGACTGTTGCGATGGGGTTGTTTTACTCGTGTGGTTGGCCATTCCGAGCCGTAGGCGAGGAGGCCAACGCCACACGAGTAAAAAACCCCATCGCAACAGGCCGGAAAAATACTATTTCTGGCGAATATGAGGTTTGCAGCACGAGCCGAAGGCGAGGGCTGCGATAATATTTGTCAGAAAATTTTTTTTTGGCCGTATGACAAACAATATTTTTTGTCATGACGGCCGTAGGCAGAGATTAATTCTGAGAGATATTTCATACGAAAAAGTCAATAAATTTCGATTTTTCTATATGAATATTCTCTTGGAATTTGTTCTATAAGAATACTTGGGCATGAATTTACTAAGTTTTTTTCACTCCGATCCTCTAATACGAAACAAAACAAAATATAGCGGAAAAAACTTAGAAAATCCGCGTCCCATAATTTAAATAGGAAAAATCTCAGGAGAAAAATTTAAACAAACGTTTTCGTATAAAAAAACAAATAGAATTGTAACGAGAATTCCCTAGAATTTTAGTAGAAACCCCATATAATTTCTAGAGAATTTTACTAAAATTTTCTAGCGAATTCATTAAGATTTTCAATTAATTTTTTCCACACGTGGACAGATGAAACAACTGAAATTCGTCTTAAAATTTTAGTTATTGTCTAGTCATAAAAAATGTAATAATTCTTCAATTTGCCATTGATAGCATTTTCAATGTTCTTCCGAATTTACTGTCAATCGTTAAAGTTTTATTGGTTGTACCACGTCAAAATTTTCTCGATCACCCAATGAAAAACCCTCAATTTTCCTCCGATCCGCAATATCAGTTTGAAATTTTCTCCCCCATTTCCTCTTGGATGTAATTTAGAAGGACCCGGCGCTGACATTCGATATCCAATCATCCACCCAACCCTCCTACAAATTTCGCAAGTCGCAAGTCAATTCACTAGTGGGACGGTAGAGAATCCTAGGAAACAACCCCGCCCCCGAGACGCAATTGCCCGGACATCCCATGAAATATTTTCGAATACAAAATTCACCAAAAACAAACCAGAAAACCAAACATCTCAAAATCACGTATCTCCGTTTTACAAAAAACACTAGATAAAAAGTAGAATATTGTACTTGCCTTCATTGTTAAAAATCGGGCAATCGAGAATGAAATGGAATAATTACTGAATCGATTTCCAACTGAAGGATTAACTCATATTATTCACCCCAAATCGTCCCCATAAATAATTCAATAAAAATCCACATATCGAATCATATATCAGTCGAGAGCGGAATGAATGTACTTGCGATAGTGAAAAGGAATTTTTTCTTTAATTTTGCTTCCGCACGGAAGCTTTGTAACCGTTTAAATTTAAGCATTCAATTTTTTTGTTAGGCTAGCTAAATATCGTCCAAATAGACCGAATATGCGATTTTTTGATGGTGTTTGTACGTATGTATGTGTGTGCGTATGTATGTGGTCTTTTTTCTTCATTTTTTCCAAATTTCCTTATAAAGAATCAATCGAATTTCATGAATTTTTTCTGCCACTCACACGAGCTGAAAATTCCGTCTCACTCGTATCGAAATATACTATTTTTACACGTGAGAGCTTTCAAATATCTATTGCAAAATAGTTCAACTCTCGATCACTCGCGTTCGGCCGTCAGCCTTCATCCGGCGCACGGTTAGCGCAGCGCCGCTGGGTTAAACTGAGCGCGCTGTTGTCATGTTGGCGCTTACCGCTATGCACACATTTCAAGTATGTCAGTGAATGTAGCAACGCTGTCGCTCGAGCGGTCGACAGAGACTCACTCGCCCCGGGCGGCGCGGCGCCGCTTTTCTGTCCGTTCCCCATTTCTTCTCTTTTTTTAGCTAAACAAATTTTTCGAGAACAAAACGGACAACGCCAACGCTTAATAAAAAGATTGAACTAGAAACTCTAATTTTTTCAGAATTTTTAAGCGTTGAGAAATACGCTAAAATATAAAAAACAAAAACGGCCGGCGCCGCGATCATTGAGCGAGTGATCGAGGGTTAAATGAATTACTTTTATTTACGTCTCTGGAGCCACATCTCGGCACGCAAAATCCTAGAAAAACTTTTTTGTAGAAATTTGTTTCCTTTACAAAAGAGGAATGTTCACAAGATTAACTCCAAAATGTTCACCTTTGAAAATCGACTAACCGAGTCTCTGAAACTTTTAATCAATTGCCTCAGGTTGGAGCTGCAGTGACCGTCCTGCTTGCCAGCAAAGCTGGTCTCCCCGTCTCCACGACCCACTGCAAGGTAGGCTCAGTGGTTTGCGTCGGCTGGGCTTCTCGGGGTGGTGAGGGTGTCTCCTGGAAGCTCTTCCGCAACATCGCCTTCGCCTGGTTAATAACCGTACCAGTTGCTGGTCTCCTTTCTGCCGGATGTATGCTCGCCATGAAACAAATTGTAGATCTGTGATTGAATATTGAATAATCAAGGAATAACCAGAAAATCTTCGGATTTTTCTTCGGCTTCGATAATAATTTTAAGGATAAAAAATCAACGCCAGTTGAATCATCAAAGCGCTCAGCTGAGCGTCAAGTTGTCAATAACGTATTAAGAAGACGGATGAGGCGAATAAAATATCCCTAATTAACATAGGCGGATAATTGATTAAAAAGCAGTATTTCCGATGATTTATCGCATTTAACCGAGCTTAATGGAAATAATTATTTTTATTCCATTTATTATCTTTTTCTATTTTATGTTACTTAGCAACGAGCAAAGTTAATCGATAAGTAAACAGTTATTTCACGCCAATGGCAAGTGTAGTATTTTCAGTGATTAAAATCATATTTTTTAGTTATTGGTTTATTTTGATTTGATATGGAGACACTACCTTTGATACCTGGATATTCTTTTCAAAATCCCTGTGTGAGTAAATAAAATAAGTTGATTTACTTAAGTATTGGAGTTTAATCAATTAACGAAGGATGTGAATAATGGCAATAGTAAGATTCAATATTTTTTCTGAAGATTTGTGACCACAAATTGAAGCAAAAGTTGGACCATAAGGATGGCTTTAGAGTAATTAGGGACTCGGTCATTGGCACTGGGAGACGTCCTGTCGATGCTGCCTCAAGCGCTTACTCCGGGAGACGTTATGACGATTTTCTTGAGTAAGTTGAATGAATTCTGAGAATATTTCAATTGGCCATTATCGAGGAACGGAGCGTCATCACGACCTTTCGAATTTTTCTTTTATCATCGCTCATTGTTGAGATGATTGGATGATCGGTTTTTGTAGCAAGTAGATGAGGAGAGACGATTGAGGAAAAAGAATACAGATTATCCATTCTTTTGATTGACGGAAGTTCGTGCAAGACAAGTCTGCTAATGATGATTTCTGCCACAACACATTACCGGCATATATAATTCAGTAGTTTAAATCTGTATCAAAATTTCTTGATAATTTTCTTTCAATCGAGTAGAAAATATAATCGAGTAGGATAACATAATATTTTGATATACCTTAGTTACAGTGAACAGTGTTGCGTCCGTTTTCGGACAATCACGGTTCACGGTTTTTATAAATTTCTGGCAAACTATTGATCGAATTGACGCAAAAAATATACAGTTTTTCATGATTTTATAATCACTCATAATAAAGCTCCATCACCGTGTCATCATTTTTCTGCCTTTTTTGTTTCCGAATGGAAGCATTGTAATCGTTCCAATTTAAGTTTCGGATTTTTTGTGTTATATCAACCGATTACGATCCAAGAAGTCCTAATATGCCGTTTTCAGGCCCTGTCAGTATGTATGTGTGTGACAAACTTTTTCGTTAATCGTTCGCGAATATCAATCGATAGAATTGAATCATTTTTTTTCACACCCCTACACGTAAAGTTCGTACTTTGCTCCCTGATAAGCGGAAGGAAAGTCTTTACGCCCGAGGGAACAACTTTCCACCCTTGAGCGGAAAGTATTCACTGGACACACCCTGCTCAGAAAGCCACGCTCGAGAAAATTTAATAGAAAAACCTATCGAATTCGTTAAAAAATTCTATTGAATTTCTATTGAACTGTTCTATTAGTTTTTGGCCGATTCTATTGAAATGTTCAATAGAAAATATTCAGTAGAAAAAGTCAATACAATTCAATTTTTCTACATAACTAATTCTATTGAGATATTTTCTATAGAATTTGCTCGACTCAAATTTTCTAAGTTTTTTTCATTCAAAAAAATCAAACGAAAAAACTTGGAAAATTGGAGCCGAGGAACTTCTATAGAAAATATCTCAATAGAATTAGTTATATAGAAAAATTGAATTCTATTGACTTTTTCTACTGAATATTTTCTATTGAACATTTCAATAGAATCGGCCAAAAACTAATAGAACAGTTCAATAGAAATTCAATAGAATTTTCTGGCGAATTCGATAGGTTTTTCTATTAAATTTTTTCGTCCGTGACAAAAAACAAATTTTTCTTTGCAGGCATGTTAAAAAATACCATGTGCACCTCGGGTGGGGAAAACATAATTTTCTGCCCTTGGTGCACAATATACTATTCCTTCGCAGGCGTGTTAAAAAATCGCATGTGCACACTGAGAGAAATATTCAATAAAAATTACCAGAAAAAAGACGTAAAAAATACGTTTCGAAACGTAATCTGGGAGCGAAGTAAAATTCAATAAAAAGTGTCAATCGTCACGTAAATTCTACGATCTGTCCCGTAAAAATTACTCATCCGTCCGACGCCTCACGGCTAGCCATGAGTCACCGTGAGGGGGAGATTTTAACAACACGTTCCGTAATTTTTCCGGAACTTTTCGTAAAAATTCTTAAACATCCAAGAATTTTCATGTTCTGAGGCATAATAAGTCTTGAAGTTTCTGTTAGATTTTGCAACTTCCAGAAAAATTACGTGACTTTTTCGTATCTTTTCTGTGACAGACCCGAAAATTTACTGAACGTTTCAAATTTATTCTCTTATATTCCTATAGAAATTCACTGAAAACGATTCTCGCTTGCGGATTACGTGAAATGTTCCGTAATTTTTCTTGAATATTTCTCTCCGTGCACCTCGGGCGAAAGGTCTTGACTTTCCGCCCTTGATGCACCATATACTATTCTATAAACCTTTTCCTCCCAGAGATACTTGCAAAATAATCTCTGAATGTTCCGAACTCAATTTTCTTCGACTGCCCCCATAATACGCTATCAAAGGACAAAAGAATAATTTCCCACCATTGCTGATCACTTTGAAATAATCGAAAAGGATTCGTCTTCAGGTACGATCCATCTTTAACATATGGAAGAACCAAAGGCTATCCTTGCAGACAAGTAATTCCCCACTACGTACTCTTCGCGCAGAAGTGCTTGAACTTCAAAGCTTTCTTTCGTCAAAGTGTTTTCAATTCTCCAGTGGAACATTTCCGGATTCGGCATGTAAATATCATCTATTTTTTGGAGGATGACACCATGTGTGTTATTGAACCTCCGGTGGATAATGCCGGATTCCAGCAAGGGAAACTCGTTCGAAGAGGAAAAATCCCAAAGGGTGATTCGGGAAGATTTTATCACTGGAAGGATCTCAACGTTGGCATCGATATCTGTAAATATCTTTTTCATGTTAAATGTATTTAGCAGAGTTCTTCACAAACTACAAAAACAGGGATCGGCATCAATCATTATTTTAGAAATATTAAGAGAATTTTTTTCCTTAGAATAATTGAATTCATTCATTCATCATTCGAATTTGGAAAATAGTAAAATAATTGATAATTTAAATTTTTCAAATAACTATTAAGTAAATAATTGGAAATTTCCTAAAAAGTATTAGAGATTATCCAAATAATCGTCAATCTTCCGAATTCGATTATTGATTGGCAAAATAATCCGGAATTTGAATATTTGATTGTTGATTAATTTAATAATTGAAAAATTGTTAAGTTCTATTACTTGATTGAGTATTTATGAAATTAATGAACAATTATAATTTATGATTATGCCTATATCTGTACAAAAACATAGTTCCCAATTTTTTAAGAATCAAGGGGGCAAATGTTGAAATATGTCATTATTCCAGGGATGCGAAATGACGTCATGTTTTGAAATCTGTCAGATCACAAAAATATGACGGTCATGTGACGCCACGTTTTTTCATGTCATAATTTGGATCACACTGTCGACTCACATATGATAATCAACTAGTTAGATTTAATGTGACCGTCATACATTTTTCTGTTACAAACCGGGCAAAACGGACCACTGACAGAAAATTGTAATTGTGACAGAAATTGGTAATTTTTGTTTTTTTTCTTTCCTTCCAATCAGAAACACTGAATATGTTGAATTAAAAGTGAGTTTCTTGGATCGTAACCGTCACAGGGCTTTTATACACAAGAAGTGTCGTTGAACCGCAATTTGATCAGATTTGCTAATCCCCTCAAACCACAAACAACTTTGAATTTTTTGTTTTTGCTTTCATTCGGAAGCAAAAGCGAAAATTATCAATTTTCTGTCAGTGATCCTTTTTGCCCCAGAAAATAACGCAACTTTTTGATGTTTTTTCGGAGTAGTTTTTCAAGATTCAGAAGTGATTTATTACAACTTCTCTCCGCACACTTATTGTTAGATTCAATCAATAAAAAAATTATTAATTAACCCTCAGCAATTTATGGAGTCGTTTACCACACTGTGGAGTGTGACACATTCACAGAAGAATATTTGCGAAGTCAGGGGATAGATCCCGGCGATAGGGAGCAGCCGCCTCCAGACTCTTACACTCAAGACCGTATAGCGAAGTTAGCAGTGAGTAAAGCCTCTTCCTCAAGTTTGAGAAAATCGAGACCGCAAGAAGATCCTCGAAGACGATTTTTAGAATTCGACGGAATGGTTCTAACGTTCGATGCCACTTGGAATGAGGATTTTTACCAAATAATGTATTTTCTTACTGACGACACAATCGCTGTGAAGGAGATGCTCAGACCAAACAGTGGGAAGGATCCCAACAGAATGCTCCTGAAGAAGACAAAAATTCCAAAAAACTGGACTGATTTACCCGTGTGGTATCCCTCGATTTATCTCGAGAGGAGTGACGAAGAAGTTGTGGAATATTATTGTCCAATGGATCTGAAGGTATTTCCAGTAGATATGATCACTTTGCAAATCTACACGGTGAAAATATAAAATCAAAAATTACAATGTGAACATAGTAAGGGAGCGAATTCGAAAGTGAAAGTGCCAATTTTCATTTCATTTAGAGAATATTTATTGCAAGTTGAAATCGTCCAGAAACTAACCCCCATCCAGAAATTGAACTGTTTACCCTAGTTGAATTTTCAATTTTTTATTTTGAAATGAGGCGAATTTTCAGAAAACATGGCAACTTTGAGCTTGAATATATGCTAAAGAGATGAAGCTGAAACTAGTGAAAGATTCGACAGCAGAAGATTTGTCTTAGGTGAGTCTAGAGGTATACAAATGTTTTTAGGTAATGTACAAACTCTTCCGCATTTAAAAAACATTTGTACATATGATTATTTGACTCTCCTACACTTGAATATCCCCTAAATTAAATTTTCCGCTGACGAATAGTCTGCTAGTTTCAGCATAATAATAAAGAGTAACACGGAACCTGAAAATTTTTACGGGACTTTCTCAAGTACACGATCTACATCGCTCTTGATTTTCTTCAGATTTTCCAAATTTTAGATCTTTCAAATTTATCATTATGTCGATTTATGCCGGTGCGGCACTTGCGGCGCGCCCAACGGAGTGTTAAATTTCACATATTATCGCAATGAACTAAATAAATGAAAAATAGCGAATTCTAAACGGTACGTTACTTTTTGGCGCTCCTAAAAATTGCGGCGCCGATGAATAATTAATTCGAAAAATGAAGAACAAGAACAATGCACATAAGTGACTGAGAACGTATGAACGTCTATCAATTGGATAAATCCAGGATATGTCATCGTAGCTTAGATTTCATCAAACGTCAATATTTACATTACCCGAGCTAAGATTATCGATTAATTTGAGTAATTTTGTTTAGAATGAGCGTTCTCCATTTATGACTCCCAATTCATGTCACAAATTCAGTGTCTCATTGTACCGCCCACCTAAGGGAAAATGCCAGTTTTATATTTGATATTTCAACTTGAGTATAAAAAACGTATTTGTGAGACTTCTTTAACTATTGAACTCGTTATTCTCGAAGTGTAGACGCCTAATTCTCCTTAGAATCCACAAAATTGATTGAAAATAAAAGAGAGAGCCTATTGAGCGGTACTACCCGCCGTCGGGTAATACCGCTCGGCACGATTCCAATGCCGCTCATAGGGTTTTGCGTGTATCGCTCGCGCCGCAATATAACCTGTACTCGAGTGCTGTCGAGCAGCTACGTGGCCGATCCTATGAGCGGTATTACCGGCTCCGCTCGGCGTCAACAAAATTGTTGATAATTATTGACATGAGTGGAGTTTTGAGTTCGAATTGGTCTCAAATTACGCGTGAAAGTACCACGAATCGAATAACCACAGTTTAATATGAGAATTCAGCGTTTGAAACTATCAAAAACCTTAATTACAAGTCCACAAATTTGGCACTCTGAAGACCTCAAAACTTTGTTACGTGTTTTTTCATATTTAAAGTGGTAAATAAAGTGAAATTTTTCCGACAATCACATCCTATCATCAAATTCTTCATGATCAGGAACAGAAAGAAATTTTCAAGTTGATGGTTGTGGAGAAAATCGGGTGAGCGGTATTACCCGCTGAGCGGTACAGGCACACCCTCCCCTATTCCATGAAATTTTTGATAATGTATGTTGATTATTGTTAGGTTGATTATGTTGATTATCAAATTATTGAGAATTATCAAGAAACAAGAGATTTGCAATATGCGCCAAAAAATGTGCGGGCGGTGAAAACTCCTGCGCCAAAATTTCTCGCGCCAAAAAAACGGTGCCAAAAAGTCGGCACCAAAAAATCCTGTTCCGTTTTTAAAATTCCACAGGTAGGAGAAACGATCTTCATTTTCGGGCGTAGTTTCTTCCTCTTCGACTGTGACTCCTTCACCCGCCGATACTACCACAACATGTTAGGAATCGAGCAACCCCCCCGGATCTACCCCTCGACCTCCTCCTACCCGCCCTGCCATGTTTCCCCTCACCCAAAACACTGCGCACCCCTCTCAGAAAAACCCAAAAAAGAGGACGTCATCCGTAAAATCTTCAACCACCCCAAGAAGTTGCGATACCTCATGTCGATGTTGGCGGTGAGGCCCGAGGACGAGGGTCGAGAGTTCATACTCGAGTACAGTTTGAGCCACGGAACAATAAAAATCAACGAATTGGGTAGAAAAAACTCTGGTAGACGAGCTGGATGTTTCCTGGCGTCGATGGAAATCCCGAAGAGTCATGCAAAACTCGAGAATTGTGACGAGGAAGTGCCAATTTACTACACACCTCGAGATTTCTACATTGGAGCGAAAATCAATATCTTCAGTCATCGATTCGTTATCACAGGAGCTGATCTATTCGTTATGAAGTACATAGAGGCGAATCAGGATAAATTTCCAGCGGAACTGATTCAAAACATGAGAGAATATTTCAATAAATCTTCTGTTGAGGATTCAAAGCGTGCGGAGGACATCACAGAAGATGACAAAGTCAATATCCTGCGACATAAAGAGGATGATTGCTTGATTCCGGCTAGGAAGGAGACAGAATCGCCCCCCAATGCTCAGAAAATCATTTCCAGTCTCCCTGAGCCTCAAAACTTGGAAACTAATCTGTGCGGAAAACACGAAAGGGATCGGAATACACCGAAACAAATCACCTGGGCTGACCAAGTCCAAGTCCCTTGCACATTGATGAGCAATATATGAATTATATCACTGGTGACAATATTTTTTTATTCACGTTCCATTGTCTTTACATCCTTTATTAAATTAATAGCAAGTGAAATTAGGAGATAAACTAAATTCGATCATTTCAGGGTGATGATTTGACAGTAAATTTTGTGGGTTTAGATAAAGCTGTTAAAAGAATTTTTTGAAAAAAGTCTCTTGATGATTCCCCTTCACATTACTCATTACAGAGATTATTGAACAGTCTTTTTATTTTCAATTACTCGAATCAGATTGGTGTAAACCTCGCGATTTATCAATTCTGGAGCGAAGCGGTAAAATGGTTCAAGTCGATTTTGATTATTGCTTAGTTTTCAATGAATATCTCGGAATCCAAGGCAGATGGCCAAATCTTTGGCAATAAAGTTTTTTGTAGACTAAATTAACCCCTCAAGTCCGATGTCCATGTACTGTAAAAAATAATATATTCCGATACAACTGAAAAGAAGTAGTTGTCGACGAGTGGGAGGTCTGTAATCACACTCGTCATTAAGTAATTTTTTTCATATGCATCGTATGATATTTAAGGGTGCCAAGTGAATTTGAAAAAAGATTCAAAAAAAATTTTTTTCTTTCCCTCCATCATTGGAGAAATATGTATTCATCCATCCGACGAACTAGACATCGAGAAAATAAATGGGGAAAATCCTCTATTTCGCGTGACAAACCTCGAGAAAGCATGGGATCAATGGGTACGGCGGGTTGAAATATCTCTCTTATTCACCCCAGTACCCCATTGTTTTTTGTCGCCATCACATTGAACACATCATTCCCCATATCTTCAAATTTTTTCAAATTTTTCTTGAGTTTCTAGGGGGTTGAAACGTTGAATTTAATCAAAACTCCATAAGAGGCTGTGTATAAGACTGATTTTGTTTATTTAATTTGTCGATATCCATAAATTCTAAAATTTTAAAATTGTCACCGATGTTCACCATCTGTCTAATACTATTAATTAAAAAAATTATAACTTTGTTGGTGAATGTCAATTTTCAAGGTCATCGCCAAATTCACTTGGCACCCTTAATGACACGGGAGAAAAAGGCGGGACTTTGCGCGCGAAGCGTGCAAAAAGTATCCTTTTTTTACTTGTATCATGAAATTACTTATACCAAGGAATCATTTCCTTGGGTGAAGAATTAATTTTTGTAGTGCCGTATTTCTCCAGGCCAGGCATTCCCAAGATTACAGTGAGGAACTTGCATGAATCTCAATTCTTTCTAATTCCCCAATTCACACATTCTTCATATCATATGTATAGCTAAACGGCAAAAATTATGGATAAATATTACCTAGATGTCTTATGATAATTAAGTGAAAATCAGTCATTTTCGCAGCCATTTCCGGCCAAAACGTCACGAAGACGGTCACGTCGTTACGTGATTATCGTAACGCTTCATTGGTCGAAAATGAAGAGAGTGGGGAGTTGTGGTCCTCCATTTGCCGAGGCGCACCTCCAGACTGGGTTAGGTCGGCCCGACCCATTCTGTGATTGGTCCAGCACTCGACCGTCTGTGTTGGCATCCTACGTAAAATAATTTGGAATAATTCTAAATGTTAATAATTGTGAACGGAGTTCAATGACATGGATTCACGCGTACATGCATGCCTCTTTTTATAGTTGAATACGTTTAAAAATTGAACATTACAAATGTGGGCAAACTGTTGTGAAGACTAATTTATTTAAATTATTGGTAACTCAAGTTTGGTAACTGAAATTTGGTGATTCGCGTTGCTACTTAACACGCGGCAACGTTAGAGTCGAAAGGAGGCTGTCTTTGAGGGATTAATCCTCGATAACTCGCGTTTGGCCGCCGGCCTTCATCCGTCGCGCGGTAAACGCACCGTCGCTGGGTTAAACGGAGCGCGCTGTTGCCACTTTAGCGCGCACCGTTATGTGCGCATTTCAGGTGTGGCCGTGAATATAACAACACTGTCGCTCGAGCGGTGAACAGGAACTCACCGCACCGCCTTTCTGACCATTTCACGTTTCTTCTCTGTCTTGTTTTTAGCTAAACAAATCTCCCAAGTAAAAACGGACAACGCAAACGTTTAATAAAAGGATTGAACTAGGAAATATAATTTTTTCAGAATTTTTAAGCACCGAGAAATAGGGTAAAATATTTAAAAAAGCAAAACAGGCGGCGCCGCGCTCATTGAGCGAGTGATGGAGAGCTGAGAGCAACAGAAAACGTCTTTATGAAAATTTCGCTCTCTCTTAGATTCGGAGATATTTTTTCAAATCCCAGCTAAATCTGAGTCGACTTGAATCGTTTTACCGTTTCGCTGCTGAATAGATTCAGACTTCTCCCTTACTTGTAAACGAAAAAGGCACAGTCCGGCCACTCGCTGAATGTAACATCACTGTTAAAATAGAATATTATGTCATCAGGCGATAAAAGTATTGTCTGACGAATGTGACTTTACAAAATTACAATTCGAGCCGAAGACGAGGATTATAATTACATTTGTCAGACAATATTTTTATTGCCGTGGGACAGACAATATTTTATGTCATTGGGCCCGAAAACCGCGATCTCGCCGAGCGAGTTTAGAATCGCGGTTTATCGGTACTAATGGCATAAAATATGGTTCGACACTTGCGAGACGGGAATTTTTAGCGCGTGTTTTATGAATGTGAAGTTGGTAGCTGACTTCACACTCATAAAAATTCTGTCTCACTCGTATCGAAATATACTATTTTGTCAAAACGGCTGTAGCTCTGTTTTACGGCCGGAATGACAAAAATACTATTTTGACGAATGTGAAGTTTACAGGCCGAGCCGAGGGCGGGGTGCGCAACAGAAAATTATGAAATTTCAAGTTTTACGTACTCGCTCCAGCAGCGAGTGAGGAGCGCAGCGTACGATAAACTCGACTTATTGCACAGGGTGATATAAAATATTTTTCATCACGCTGTGACGAAAAGTGAACTTTTCCGCACGGTCCGCGTGCCTAAAAGTCCAATTTCCTCCACATTGTGATGAAAAATATTGTTCGTAACTCGTGAAAAAATGTTTTTTAGCTCGTGGGATTATATCACGAGCCGAAGGCGAAACCTCCCACTCGCCAAAAAACACTTTTTTGCATTCGTTACGAAATATACTATTATGCCACTCAGGCCTGAAACCGGCTGGATTACACACTCGACGCTTCGCCTCTCGTGTCTAATTCAGCCGGTTTCAGGCTTCGTGACATAAAATTTTGTTCAGTACTTGTTGGGAAATTTCGTCCTTAACGTGTGTGGTTACATCACTCGCCTTCGGCTCATGCTGTAAACCCCACACACGTTAAAGACGAAATTGCCCCACACGTGCTGAAATATACTATTTTGACACTGCTGCTACATTCACCTCGTGCCGAAAAGTGCCTTTTCGTTTACT